CGTTTGATGCTGTTAGCTTTCTTCATGGCTCANATCGTCAACAGAGGGTAGGTCCTGTTATGTGCGGGGTCTGTAAAAAAGATCGGCTTGCTGCTTGGCGATGCACGGGGGATGCGAGGTATGCTGGTCTAGCGGCGTGTGTGAAATGCTATGAAAGGCTGGCTGCAACTAGGACTTGGCTGCGGCTATGAAACTCACGCTATGAAAACTGAGTCTGAACCGTTCAGGTGAGTCGACCCGGAATCTGCCTTGATTCCGCCTCTCTTCCGCCTTTGATTCCGCCTCTCGGAACACCGTAATCAAGGCGGAATGGTGGCGGAATCGGACGGAATTGACGTCCGCGGATCGCGATTCGGCCTCCATTTTCGGAGCCGGAATCTTGCCTCGTCCTGCCTCGTCCCGCCTCCATTCCGGTTTCCTTCCCGCTTCGTGTTGCCGGGCGAGGTCGAATTCGGTCCCGTCTTTTTTACTTCAATAAAACAATGTTGAACACCAACTTGGCGTCTTAGCCCACGCGCAGCCACGTGGGTTCGTCGATTCTGCCTATTCCGCCTGTTCCGCCTGTTCTGCCTGTTCTGTCGCTTGTGCTCATGGAGTCGAGCTCTCATGACTTGGGGCACCGAGTAGGCAGAATAGGCAGAACAGGCGGAATCGGCGGAATGGGCTGGATCGAGGCCGAATCGGAGCTGGTGGGGAGAAATACTCCAAACTAGGGTAATAAGGAACGTTGATGTCAACGTTACGGGGAGTGCAGTGTCATCTCCGCAGGTCGTAACTTGAAGTAGATTTGCTCGATTGTTGACGCTCGGCCGTGACATCATTTCGTTGTAGCACGACCTCGGTTTCAGAGACCGTCTAGTCCCCTAGACGCTAGGATTTCTTCAAAGTTTGTGTTTCATTCCGGACCAGGGTATCCACCTCAAGTTACGACCTGTGATCTGGGCTCCTAGATAAGAGACTGCCACGAACCCAGCCTAATGCTGCACCGCTCCACGTGGGCGTGCAATACATAAAGAAAGACCAGCGCCCGTTCGTTAGAATTCACCGCATATGCGGCCGGAGAAGCCTGCTGGCGATTCCCCTTCCACGTCTTCAACCCCGCCACAAACCTGGCAATCAGGTGCTAAGTCTCTCACGAAGAGTCTCTGATGGCCTTTCAAAGGCAAACACTGGCTTGATGCGCTTGAGAGAATACCCCCAGTGACGCTTTCAGCGCGACTCGAATCAGCTCCACGTGAAAATGAGAGAACGTTCCATTCAAGAGGCAGGTCGGCCCCTGGATTAGTTTCATCGGCAAACGCGCCACCTGTGAAGTGACCGAGGTTGGAATTAGTGTGGCTTAAGCCAGTCGTCGAAGTGCTTTTTGGACCAGCCTCAAACCCGAGAACATCGGGGTGATTTGAGGGGCGGAGCTGGCTGCGCCGCGCATCAGCAATAGCGCAGAGCTCAGTATCGTTCAAACAGCCAACCTATGAAGCAGATAGTTTTGCTTAGGCCCATCCAGGCCGATCACCCACGTTGGCAGCTGTATCACGATGTTGGACTAGTCGTCCCATAATGTTCCTTTCACGACAAGCATGGGCTGTGGAATGGTCTCTACCAACTATGTACTCATACCTACACATAGCATCTTCCTTGGAAGTCTTGAATGACGCTGGACTGGTCGACGTCGTGACACCTCGAGTGAGTAGCAAGGCATGAAATATAAGAAGCTGTGCGACGAAAAGTACGACAGGTGCAACAACCACACAAGTGCAGAGGACCAACAGCTTAACGGTGCCGGCACCGGCAATGCGACCAACCCAAATACTCGAGGCGCGCAATTTGATAGAGGAATCGCCCGCTCGAAAGAGTGCATGTGCGGCATATGCAGTTAAGGTGAGCTGGATCGAAGTGAAGCAAAATGTGGCTAAAATAGCAAGAAAGAAGAATGGATAGTTCCGCCCCCCCACGCAATTATTGAGCCACTTGCAGTGGTGATCGAAGCGTAGTACACACTTGTCACAGAACCTGCAATGTCTTGAAGACACGTCTACCATCACCTAAAATTCAGTGTGCAACAGCGCTTCCTCGCTCATCCCACCTGGCATATGTAGCAAAAACATGTACAAGTAGGCTGACGATGTGGTGTTGATCGTCGACAGATGCGTGATAAAATAGCCGCGCACAAGTTCTCATCTGGTGTGATCGTATCAGCACTGCCTGCATTTCACAAGTAAAGCTTCGTATGGCACAAGCTCACCAATTGGCCCTACTCGGGGGTCACGGGGATCGACTTTTGACCTAGATGGAAGTCACAAGCACGGAATCAGAGTACACTGGGCTAGGACGTGAGCCAGGCTGCTGACCACGTTGCGGATGCAGCGAGCGTGTATCCTAGTGTCGCCGACAACACCAAGGGCGACGACCAGAAGAGCGGCATCAGGACGCCATAGTATTGAGTCAAGAAAAAAGGGAAAAGTGCCCATGCCAGCACCTGCAACCAGTGAAAGGGTCGCTGTAGGCCATTTTCTCGCATGCGCGCCAGTGGGTGATGTCAACAGCGGAGCAGCTTTAGATTTACATCCAAAACAGACATTAATGTTCCCGCGTATCCGTGTCAACCCGCGTCAACCGCTCTCAGCCACACGATGGCTGGCAGGAGAGTGAAGACTACCACGTTTTAGGGCCGCGTAAACTCTGCCCAAGTGCCGTCTGGATTGCGTTGGACCTTGGCCTCATGAGCGAGCTCCGGCCACCTGCGCTGTCGGCTGCGCGACGAGCCAGCGTGCGGCGCGTTGCAGCCGTTTCTTGTCTCAACGCGCCTACGAAGGTGTGGCGTCACTGCCCTGCGCCAGCGTTGGCAGCGCGGGCGTCTGCGAGGCTGCTACGGGCCCCGGAGCGCGCCGTCGCCGGGGCACCCCCTGCGCCTCCGCGCCGTCGTGAGGCTCTCATCGACGGCGGCAGCGGCGCCGCGCCGCTCGCCCGCGGCGGCGGCGCGCGTGCGCCAGGCGGCGACCGCGCGCTGCGCGCCGCGCGTCGAGCGCCGCGGCCGGGGCCGCGGCCGCGCGGCCGCGCCGCGCGGCCGTGGCCGCCGCGGCGAG